GGCTTCAGCTTAGACAGCCGTCTCAGCTGAAAAAAACAGGATTTGACCATTCATAGCATTAAAGGCCTCCCTCTGCAGCTGCCTACCAGTTCATGTCTTTAAACTCTGACAGGTGGCTCTCTCCCCACTTTCCTGCAAAGACCTGTTACTACAATTGGACCCTGACTCCAGCTGCCAGCAGCCTTATTAATAAAAGCTGTTCTTAATTTTTGCAATCCTGTGTCTGGCTTATTTTGAATCCAAAACCCTGGTTTGTGACAGCAGCATCACAATACTTCACTTCTGGTTCCAGTAAGCTGATGGACGGCAGCTCCCTCCGGCTTCTCTGCAGTCTTTTATCATCAAACTGACCTGTTTTTCGAACCGGACTAAAGTTGGTCCCCCTTCCAACCGAATTTGGACTCAGAGAGCCGGACGGGACCGTCCAAAAAATTATTTCGGTCCTTGACCGGCCACTGCCACCCCACCTGTCACTCTGAGCTCACCCTGCTGGCCAGGTGACCCCTCGAGCTGGGGAGTCGTCGCACGAGGGTCCGGTGTTTTTTCTCTCTTTCTCCGGACCCCAACGAATGTCTCATCTGGACCTTTGTGGTTCTACCTGGTCCCGACAAGAATCGGTGGGTGGTATTTTTGCTGGTTTTTTCGCTGGTTTTCTGCTGGATTGGCCTCTCTTGGTGTCTTCATTCGGTGTGGGGAAGTGTACCTGTGTCCTTGAACTGGACCAGAACCGAACCGACTTGGCTGTGGGGGACTTTGTCTTCCATAGAGCCGGTTTCAGTTTCAGTGAGCAGCCAGTTACCTTTAAACGAAGGACTGTCCACCTCTGTGGAATCGCTGTGTTTGCTTGGAGGAGACGCTCTGATGCTTTGATGCACCGCCAGAACCGGACCGGAGCAGAACCGGGCCAGGGACGACTTTAGCCACTTCAGCCTCTTCGGTCAGTCTCATGATTGTTCACTGGAGTTAGCCTCTCGTGCTGTGGAGTGCTGGAGCCGGAGTGGAGCAGACCTGAACCGGACCAGTGACCACTTCAGGTCGCTTCCTGTGGTAGGATTCTGGCTGGAGCTCACTCAGCCTGGTGGACAACTGGAGACTCGGTTCTGGTGAACAGTTGTGGGTCCAAACTGGTTCTGGATGAAGGTCAGGTGCTGAGGTTCTGGAACTCATCATAGCGGTCCCAGCAAAACGTGGCTGTAATCTTTCATTGAAAGCTTGGATTTTAAACTTATCTGATTTGAAAGCTAACCTTTAAAAGTTAGACTTTTAAACTGTCTTTCCTCATCATTCTTCTCTTGACCTTTTTTGAAAATTTCTCTGAGATGTTGACAAGAACTAAACTGAAACTTCAGTTTAGTTCTTAAGCTCCAAGTCACAACAGAAGTCGTCTCAGGGTGAACAGAAACATTCAAATATAAAATAATAATTGATCAGAAACATTCATGTATAAAATAATAATTGAACATTATTTATGTGAGGAGCAGCTTTGAGTTTAACTCCATCACAGAACTCTCATCTTGAACAAGCATGAAGGCGACAGTGGAAAGAAAAACTCCCTCATGAGGAAGAAACCTTTAGCAGAACCAGGATCAGGACAAGAGGACCATCTGCTTCGACCGGCTGGGTTTGGTAGGAATAGATACACAATGGCAGGTCAAGAATCACATGTTAAGATAGAAATAGTATCAAATGAAAACTATTCAATTTTAACAATTCATTTAAGGAAATAAGGTCAATTTGTCCTCTAGTAGTCTAAGTCTATAGCAGCATAACAAGCCAACCCTAACTATAGGATTTATCAAAAAGGAAAGTCTTCAAACTGGACAATGTGTCAGCCTCACGGACAGAAACTGGAAGTTGGTTCCACAAGAGAGGAGCCTGAGAACTGAAAGATCTTCCTCCCATTCTGCTGCTGGAAACTCTAGGAACCACAAGTAAACCTGCAGTCTGAGAGTGAAGTGCTCTGTTAGGAAAATATGGAACAATAAGATCTGTAATATAAGATGGAGCTAGGTTGTTGAGGGCTTTGTAGGTTACAAGTAAGATTTTGAATTCTATTCTGGACCTGACAGTGAGCCTGCTTACCATGGACAACACAATCCCAACTATCTGAGCTGCCGTAGTGCAGTCGCCATTTTGAATCCCTCCAAACAGATATCTGAACCTCTTTGGTTAAGCTGCTGCCTCCGAGACCTGAGTCCAGAACAAGATGAAGATATTGGATGGATAATAATTCTGTTGAACAACTCTGACATAAGAAAAGCTTCTCACCAACGTGGACCCTCAAGTATCAGGTTAACTGACTGTTGCAAGAAAAACATTTACCACAAATTTCACAGGTGAACAGTTTCTCACCTGTGTGACTTTTCTTGTGTCTCTTCAGTTCTGGACTGTCCACATCGTCTCCATGTTCTCTGGTTTGAGGACGTCTCTCGTTCTGTGTCAGCTCCTCTTCTCTGCTGGATCCAGGATCTTCAGTCCTGCTTCCTTCCTGATCTTGAGTCTCAGCTTCAGGAGAATTCTGAAGGAGTTGTTCCCAGTTTGCTTCTGGTTCCCAGTGATCTTTTTCGTCAAAGCCAACAGTCACCATGAAGGTCTCAGCTGCCAGCTTCACACCAAGCTGCTCTTCATCCTGACTGATGCAGAGTTCCTCCTGTTCCTCTTTCATCTGTGGAGGTTCTGGTTCTTTAACTTGTGATTCTGGTTCCTTCTCTGGAAGGTCTGGTTCTTCCTCTGGAGGTTCAGGTTCCTCTTGTTGTAAATGTTTGGGTTCCTCCTGGTCTTCTGTTTTCTGTGGTTGATGATCTCCTGCTGGAGGTTGTGGTTCCTCCTGGTCCAATCCAGAGTTCATCTTGTGGTTCCTGAGCTGCTGCTCAGTGAGAACCTCCAGCTCCTCACGTCTCCAGACAAAATGCTGCGGGAGTTCTGGACCAAGAGACAAAGAAATGACGTCAGTGGACATAAGAAGTTGAAGCTGTCAACTAAAGCTGGGAGATTGGACAGTTCTATTGACCGTCACATGTTGGAGGCAACAGGGATTAATTTATGGACGATAGTTTCTGCTTAGATGTTTAACAATCTGCTAAAATACACCAAAACGCATGAAATGGCATCTCTTTTATTCCAAGTTTTCTGGGGGAGGACCCACGGACCCCACACTCCCCTCCCCCGACCGGACCGCCTACTGTTTTTGTTCTGGCATCAATTAATTTACAAATGAAACCCTGGTAGGAATAGATACACAATGGCAGGTCAAGAATCACATTAAGATAGAAATAGTATCAAATGAAAACTATTCAATTTTAACAATTCATTTAAGGAAATGAGGTCAATTTGTGCTCTAGTAATAAGTCTATAGCAGCATAACAATTAAATTGCTAATTAAATTAATTAAATTGCAGAATACAACAGTCACCATCCACTTTATTGGTGACTATACTTATCTGAGTTCAGCTCTGTGCTTGTGTCTGTGAAGTGAAAGAACAATTGATCCTTCATAACATCCTCAGTAAAATGCTTACCAAACACCACACACACACACACACACACACACACACACACACACACACACACACACACACACACACACACACACACCACCTGCATAAAAATATATCTGGAGCCGCCACTGGAACAACTAGGTCTAACCAGCAAACTGGATGGTCCACTTTGACAAGGTGCTATTTATAAGACTGAGATCCTTGCAGAAGTTCAGGCTGAAGAAGTCCTTTGGATAAAAAACCGAAACATTTTAAAAAGAAGAATCCATCCAAAGGAACCGACTTAACCTTGTTAATGAGCAGCATCAGGACGCCATTTCTTTTTGTTCTTCGTGTTATTTGATGACGGTCCCCAAGTGTTTCTGATGAGCACATGGAGGAGATCCGACTGTCAGAACCGGGTCAAACAGCAGAAAAAACGTTGCTGAGTCCGGACTGGATGTCTGTCAGCAGACCGAGGCACGGAACCTCCGGGGTTTACAACCGACTGTACGTGAGGCAGTCCCTCAAAATGGCTGCCACCCGGCTGTGAAGGAACAGACTCTCTAGAGATTCATCTTTACTGATTTCACCTCAATGTGTCATAAATGAATAAAGACTTCCACATGCACTCCGCTGCAGCTCCTACCTGTTGTGTGCAGGTGTGTGTGAGGTTTCCAGCTGATGTCCAGCAGTCTGCGCTGACGATCGATCTCTTCCTCGTACCGGACGATGGTTTTTTTCAAACTCTGTGAATATTTCTTCAGCAGCAGCAGTTAGTCGCTCGCTGATAAACTCTCTCAGAGACTGAACTGAAGACATTGTTGCTGCACACACTCAA